GGGGGGGGGCACACCCCGGAGACGCGTGCTGGGCGTTTGCAACCGCCTCAACACTTCCAGATTTGTGAGAGGCCGCCTACGCAAGATTTGACGGTATGCTAGCCCCCGGAGGCCGCCGGCCACAGTCGTAGACGTGCGAAGAGCAATCCGCGTAGAGGGAAGTGTTCAGATACTTCTCCATCACAAAAAATTATGAAAAATTACCATCAGTCCTATAGCACATGTGCCCACGTTGTGTAAAAAACTCATGATTTTATCGCGCTCCAAGTATTTAATAATATTCACGCTGCATCGTTACCGCAGAACGTCTACTACCGTTTCATTGCCGTCCGTGAGGGGGGCCACAACCCGGAGACGCGTGCCGCCTCTTCGGACATGCCACAACACCACCCCGCATGTATGAGGGCCCGGTACGACGCTCCGGTGGCATTGCCACCCCCAGGGCCCCCGTCCCGGCTAACCGTGTAGCGTTTGACCACGTGATCTAGCCCTTTGACTTTGCACGGACGGGCTTTGACCAGTGGACCTCTCCACCCGGTTGTGTTAGGTCGGCCCAGAGGAACACTTTGGAGCAACTTCCGGGCCAAACCCACAGCTACATCCACTCTGTGTAGACCCGACGCGTCCGTTTCCCCCCTCCAGGTGCCGGCGGCGGCGGCGTCCGTGAGGGGGGGGCACACCCCGGAGACGCGTGATGGGCGTTTGCAACCGCCTCAACACTTCCAGATTTGTGAGAGGCCGCCTACGCAAGATTTGACGGTATGCTAGCCCCCGGAGGCCACCGGCCACAGTCGTAGACGTGCGAAGAGCAATCCGCGTAGAGGGAAGTGTTCAGATACTTCTCCATCACAAAAAATTATGAAAAATTACCATCAGTCCTATAGCACATGTGCCCACGTTGTGTATAAAACTCATGATTTTATCGCGCTCCAAGTATTTAATAATATTCACGCTGCATCGTTACCGCAGAACGTCTACTACCGTTTCATTGCCGTCCGTGAGGGGGGCCACAACCCAAAGACGCGTGCCGCCTCTTCGGACATGCCACAACACCACCCCGCATGTATGAGGGCCCGATACGACGCTCCGGTGGCATTGCTACCCCCCAGGGCCCCCGTCCCGGCTAACCCTATAGCGTTTGACCACGGGATCTAGCCCTTTGACTTTGCACGGACGGGCTTTGACCAGTGGACCTCTCCACCCGGTTGTGTTAGGTCGGCCCAGAGGAACACTTTGGAGCAACATCCGGGCCAAACCCACAGCTACATCCACTCCGTGTAGACCCGACGCGTCCGTTTCCCCCCTCCAGGTGCCCGCGGCGGCGGCGTCCGTGAGGGGGGGGGGCACACCCCGGAGACGCGTGCTGGGCGTTTGCAACCGCCTCAACACTTCCAGATTTGTGAGAGGCCGCCTACGCAAGATTTGACGGTATGCTAGCCCCCGGAGGCCGCCGGCCACAGTCGTAGACGTGCGAAGAGCAATCCGCGTAGAGGGAAGTGTTCAGATACTTCTCCATCACAAAAAATTATGAAAAATTACCATCAGTCCTATAGCACATGTGCCCACGTTGTGTAAAAAACTCATGATGTTATCGCGCTCCAAGTATTTAATAATATTCACGCTGCATCGTTACCGCAGAACGTCTACTACCGTTTCATTGCCGTCCGTGAGGGGGGCCACAACCCGGAGACGCGTGCCGCCTCTTCGGACATGCCACAACACCACCCCGCATGTATGAGGGCCCGGTACGATGCTCCGGTGGCATTGCTACCCCCAGGGCCCCCATCCCGCCTAACCCTGGAGCGGTTGACCACAAGATCTAGCCCTTTGACTTCCCACGGATGGGCTTTGACCAGTGGAGCTCTCCACCCGGTTGTGTCAGGTCGGCCCATAGGGACACCCGGGAGCAACATCCGGGCCAAAACCACAACTACATCCACTCCGTGTAGAACCGACGCGGCAGTTTCCCCCCTCGAGGTGCCGCCGGCGGCGCCGTCCGTGAGGGAGGCCACGCACCGGAGACGCGTGCCGCCTCTTCGGACATGCCACAACACCACCCGGTTGTGGTAGGTCATCCGATATATATATAAACACTTGGGATCAAAGTCCCCTTCGTATAGACCCGATGCGGCTGTTCCCCATTCCAGGTGCCGGCTAGCGGTGGCACCGCTCGTGAGGCGGGTCACACCGCTGTGTACAGAACCGAAAAATAATGTATGTATGCTTATTAACACGTACTATATGTAAGTTAGTCAAATAATAATATTTAAGAAAACATAAAATATAGCTATGAAAAAAAAGAAAAAAACTAACGAGTGGAGGGGGTGACCGGGAACTGGATAAGGGAACTATGATAAAAAGATCGATGATGTGGTAAAAAAAGAAAAAAAACTATGAAAAAAATATAGCTATGAAAAAAAGAAAAAAGAAAAAAAGAAAAAAAGAAAAAAGAAAAAAAGAAAAAAAACTATGCCGACGGCAAAGCCGTCGGCATAGCTGCGGCATAGGGCAGATGGCCGGCGCGCCGCGGATCGGTGATGTGGCATCTATGCCGACGGCAGCCGACGGCATAAGTGGTGGTCGGTGCGCCTCGGATCGATGACGTGGTTAGGGCATCTATGCCGACGGCCTCCCGCCTCGGCCGTCGGCATAGATCGGACGCCGTTAGACGCACGTCACGGCGGGATCGCCGGGCCCGCAACTATGCCGACGGCCGATATATGCCGACGGCGGCTGTAAGCGTAAGCTTGGGTAAGCCGACGGCCGTTCTGGGCCGACGGGGGCCGTCGGCATAGGTCTGAATAGCCCGACGGCTTTATTACGCCGACGGCCTGGATATGGTTGTCGGCATAGCGCAGAGAAGGCCGACGGGGGCCGTCGGCATAGATATGGCCGTCGGCACAGGGCCCTGTTCCGGTAGTGCTTCTTCTTTTTTTTTTCAAAAAAAAAAACTGTACGTAGCAGGCAAAATATACGCTGTCTCCGCCCTGCTCCAGCCTCTGTTGGAAATAATCACGATTAGGTGTCCCTGTCCGGTACGGACCTGCTCGTAACCTTAACCGAATCAGCTCTGTACTAGTACGTAGATAGATCAGGCACTATATATATCTGTAGTAGCTCCCCCTGTAATCACGAAGGCTGCCTTTTTTGCCATCAACTCGATCGTGCTCCTGCGTCGTGCGTACGTATATGCATCAAGCCGGCGGGCGGCTCTACGCTTGTGAGCTTCGGGACGATAGCTTCTACATACTGCTCTGTTGTGTGCTCAGGCATTTTTTGATCCGAAGGTAATCCAGACGTGACTGCATCATCGACATCATCGGAAAGTACGAGTCAGGGCTCCGCCAACATCCCCCTAGTCACGAGATGAAGACATGTAAGACGGCATCTATGTGCACCCCAGCGGAGGAGTCTCAAGGCATACATGTGTTTGATATCTTGGGTTACAGCAAGCACAAGGGCATGGGCCACCATGTGGACAGCCACATACGCTCAGGGGTTTTCTCTGTCGGCGGCCATGACTGGGTAATCTTCTTCTTCCCTGACGGTTATACTGAATATGACCTGGATTACATCTCAGCTTTTCTCGTGCTTTGGAGCAACAACACTAAAGTCCGGGCGTCCTGCGATATGAGGCTGGTTGATCAGTACACCGGATTCTCATCTTCGGTGCATAAAACAGGACCTAGAATTTTCAATTCTGGTGATATTAGCAAGTTTGCTCCACAGACTACTTGTTTCATAACGCACAATGAGATCGAGGGATCCGCGTACCTTAGGGATGATCGCCTGACGATCGAATGCGTCGTCACTGTTTTCCACAAACCACATGTTACCGAAACAAAATCATTCCCTAAAATCGGCATGCCACCAGCTGACATGACCGAGGATGTTGCCAAGCTGTTGGAAGAGAAGAAGGGATTCGATGTCAGTTTTATTGTCGCGGGAGAGACCATTGAAGCCCATAGGTTTGTTCTCGCTATGCGGTCACCTGTTTTCAAAGCAGAGCTCTATGGGTCGATGCAGGAGGCGAAGTCGGGGCAATGCATAACCATCAAGGACATGCAAGCTGCTGTTTTCAAGGCCCTGCTCCATTTCATCTATACGGACTCTTTGCCTAGCCGTGAGGATACTGAGATGGCTCGGCTTCTACTAGTGGCTGCAGACAGATATGCAATGGATAGGCTCAAGCTGGTTTGCCAAAGCATACTTTGTGAGGATCTGAACAAGGACACTGTGGCAATCACATTAGCTTTAGCTGACCAACATAACTGTCACCAGCTTAAGGACGCTTGTCTTGAATTTATCGAATTATCAAATTTCACGGATGCTTTGGTGGCTACACAACGGTTAAAAGATATCAAGAAGACTTGCCCATCTTTCATAGTGGAGGAATTGGAGAAGAGAAAAAAGCTTCGTAAAGCATAAGCAGCTACAAAAGGTAGATCAGCTAAATCTTTCATACCAATTCGTCGTAGGAATGATCAGGCCATTGTTAGATGAATCTAAGACTGGTTAGGAGAGATATATGATGTCATGAAAGTTCCCCTAATCAACCCGTCCAGAACTGAACTTTTTATTTCTCCGCAACTGTGTAACACTTGCTCTTAATCTTCTGCCAAAATTTCCTTTTTGTGTGCAACCTTTATTGAACATTTGATTCCCAGATGGTTACACCTATGGCATGTACATGTTCTTTGCTTATCCAATCTTTAAAACTTGTGCCAGATTCAATCCAATTCAATGGCGGGATTACATGTGTCATACGAGTGACTCAAAGTCACAGCTACTATGGATCAAACCCCCGCTCCCTCCTCTGTGCCTGCCCCTCTCGCCAAACTCCGGCCGGGTTTAGAACTAGAGAATATTTTGCAAAGTTTTAACTGAAACTGAATCAGTCGAACATGTAAGGTAGAACTAGAGCGCCAGGAAACATATGACTTATTGGCATCGAAGGAGGGAAAGTATACTAAAGTCACTGGACATAGTTCATGGGGATCGGTCCGATCTACCAAGTAGTCTAGTTCTAGTTCTAGTTCTAGCAAAAAAAAAAGTGTTAACTGAAGCTCACAGCAGTTAAACTTCAGTTAGCTGCGTGTTTTCAAAAAGAACTTCAGTCAACTGTAGCCGTTGTCGGACACTGAACAGGGGAGCCCTTGGTCTTCGAGGGGCGTTGACCTTTCACAGGTGAAGTGCATCCTAGCTGTCTGTCTTTCTAGTAGCTGTCGAATTCCTAGGAGAAGTTGACGATTTCTTCAGGTGTATTCAAAGACAGGACCTTCAGAGATTTAGTGTACGACGCATAGTCCAAACAAAATTTGAGTGCTCATTCGGTATAACCGAAATTAAACATAACAAAACCAGAAGGATATGCAGCACTGAATCTCTTATATATAGTGGCCATAGCATATTACTTTTTCACCACTCGTAAGCTTAAACCGGAATAGTAGCAACTAAACTCTGATTACTCATTTGGTTAAACTGAAAGTTAATCAGCCAAACACTTGACTGCACACTGAATGACATATCCGAGCATATGCTTCTAGTGCCAGATTAAAGTCACTGGATAAACCTCAGGCCTCGTTTGAAAGCAACATGAAGCATGCAGAACTGTACAACTCTAAAATGTACTCCAATACATCTTGTTCATTTTAGAGTTAGTACATGATATTGAAGAAGATCTTGTCAAATTTTAGGTAGTTATATTGCCAAACTCCAGGGTTCAGAACTCGAGATACGTAGGTCAAAAAAAAAGAAATTAATCAGTCAAAGAGATGAGGTAACACTAAAGCACCAGGAAACAACAAAAGATTAGAAACGAATCAGCCTATTCTCCGCGCCAAAATCATCTACTGAAGATATAAAAGGAAACAACCACAAGCATATGCATATGCACCACTCGTCTGTTATATATATTGGCCATAGCATACTACTATGATCTGCAATTATCATCACTTCTATAATAAAATGTACCTGTACTGAATAATCAGTGGCAATGCAGCTCTGAGTACTCATTTGGTATAACTGAAACCCTTGAGTACTAGCTAGCAGATGCAACACTGAATCTGTTATAGATATTGTCCATAGCATATTACTAGAACTAAACTCTGAGTACTCGTTTGGTTAAACTGAAAGTGAGTCAGTCAAACACTTGTGACAAAACTAAAGCGTCAGAAAAGAATCAAACATCAACGAATCAGACTGCACACTGAAAGGGATCCACATCAAGTACTGTGTCATCTACTAATTTCAGAGAACTTGACAGGGAAACAAGTCCTACAAGTATACGGTTTCATCGATCTACTGAATTATGCATTGCCACATTTGGCCAAATCACAGGGAATCATTCTAGAGAGAAGGTGTTGATTTTTTTCAGGTATGTTCAGAGAACAAGTGTCCTGACATATTAGTATTACTAAGGAATCAGGCTGCATAAAAATATCACATGCATGTTAAAACACCTATTTAAGATAAACCTAGATATCAGGTGTTGCTATATCTCCAAACACGAGAGACATAGTGTCAGATGAACCCACAAACTTATCGCTAGCAATAATAACGAATTGGTATATAAGGAGGGAAGATTGAAGTCACTGGATAATACTACCAAGTACACCATTTAAACCAAGTAAACTAGAGTTAACTGAATAAAGCCATGGCGATCAGATTGACCTGAACTACCAAGTACCCTAGTTATAGAATTAGCTACGGATAAGACTTGATCGACATGCGGTGAAACAGAGTTAACTGAAGTTTACAGCAGTTAAACTTCAGTTAACTGTAGCCGTTGTCGGACACTGAACAGTGGAGTTATCGGTCTTCAAGAGGCGTTGATCTTTCATAACTGGAGCGGATACAGCCGTCCGTCTCCCTGGCAGTGTACCGGTTCGCGTCTTGATGCTCGTAGTTGTCAAATTCTTCACAGAAGGTATCGATTTCTTCAGGTATGTTCAGAGAGGAAGTTCAGAGAACTAGTGTCCCAACGCATAGTCAGATTTCTTTTTTTTAATCACTCATTCGCTTTAATTTATGCTCCCTCCGTAAACTAATATAAGACCGTTTAGATCACTAAAGTAGTGATCTAAACGGTCTTATATTAGTTTACGGAGGGAGTACTAAACAATTCACTCATTCATTTGGTTAAACTGAAAGTGGACCAGTCAAACACTTGAGGCAAAACTGAAGAGTCAGAAAAGGACCAAAGACTAACAGATACATATAGTAATGTCATAGCACTGACAAGGAAACAAGAACAAGTAGTATATAGTTTCATTGATCTACTCAAATACTCCCTCCGAAAAAGCTTGTCCCTCAAATGGATGTATCTAGCATCAAGTTAGTGCTAGATACATCCATTTGAGGCACAAACTTGGGACAAGCTTTTTCGGATGGAGGGAGTATGCATCTAAACAAGCACAAGCATAGAGGTGTTGATGTTTCATAGCTGGAGCGCATCGTAGCGGTCCGTCTCCCTGGTAACTGTCGAATTCTTCAGAGAAGGTGTCAATTTCTTGAGGTATGTTCAGAGAACTAGTGTACTGACACATATAGTCCGAACAAAGTTTGAGTGCTCATTCGGTTTAACTGAAAAAACAAAGCCCCACAGCCTAATTCTCCATGCCGGACCACTTACCGACGACAAGCATTAAAAAGTGTCAACTGTCCCCCAGAAAAATAAGTGTTAACTGAAGCTTATATCAGTTAAACTTCAGTTAACTGTGTGTTTTCAAATAAAAAAAACTTCAGTCAACTGTAGCCATTGTCGGACACTGAACAGGGGAGCCCTTGTTCTTCGAGAGGCACTGACCTTTCTTCAGGTATGGAAGTTCAGAAAACTAGTGTCCTGACTGAAACTAAATACTTCGAGCACTCATTCGGTTTAACTGAAACTAAACCAGTCAAGCACACGAGGCAAAGCCAAAGCATCCACAGCCTTATTCTCCACGCCGAATGACATACCGACGACAAGCATATGCAGCACTGAGTCTGTTATATATATTGGCCGCAGCACATTACTAGAATTTACAATGATCATCACTCGTAAGCTTAAACCAGAACAGTAGCAACTAAACTCTGATTACTCATTTGGTTGAACTGAAAGTCAAGCACTTGAGGCAAAACTAAAGCGTCAGGAAACCAAAGCATCCAGAGCCAATTCTCCACGGCAAATCATTTACCGACGACAAAGGACTGAAAGATATAAAAGGACAAAACCCATTTGTAATATGTAGTATTGGCCAGAACATAAGCTTAAACTCTGAGTACTCATTTGGCCAAAATGAAAGTGAATCGATCATACACAAAGAGCCAAAAATCAGTTAAACACAAGGTAAAACTAAAGCGTCAGAACAGATTCAAAGATTAACGAATCAGACTGCACACTGAATGAGCACTCAAATCTTCACACTGAATGAGCTTCAGAAAAGAGCCAAAGATCCACCGAGTGAGCAAGTATATATATCATCTACTAATGTGAGAACACATGGTTTCTCAATGACAAGGAAACAAGTCCTAGCTACATGTATATTGTTTTGTGAGTGAATTCCATTTTTTACCTTGTAGTTGTACATTTGTGACACATATTACCCTATTTAGCGAAACTTTTATCGAAATGTCAGATTTTGGAGACTTTTAACACGGTTTTACCCCAGTTTTACATTTTGTTTGTTTATGGTCGATAGCATCGGCATGTTGCGTCATTGATTTGTAAAAAAAAATGTAAGGATCGGAGGGCATCATTGGCGATCTTGTCCAAGCTTCTCTTGTCTATCTGTTCCACTCCTTGTGGCCGTCCACATGTTTTTGGATACAGGGCGTCACCTCACACCTTACCTGATGGACACGCATCAAAAAATAAGGGTCCAAAGATTTCAAAAGGGGTATTCTAGACGAATTTTCACTCGAAGGGGTAATTAGTGTCACAAATGTATAAATATGGGGTAAAAAGTGGAATTCACTCTTGTTTTGTCGATCTACTCAAACCATTTGCCACATTTGGCCACATCACAGAGGAATCATTCTGTTCTGTTGTGTCAAAACAGAGCAAAGCAGAACAGGCTCAGGAATTAAGCTGTCTGCTCCCATAGTTAACTTCAGAAGACATTCTCCACTCACAGCGGTGAGATGAGCTACCTAGCTCTGCCCTGCCGGTGGCGGTGGTGGGCCGGGGGTGGCAGGCTTTGAAGAATCGGGCTGCCGAGGCTGGCTGAGGCGGAGTTCGAGATCGAACTCGGGCTGGGGCTGGGGCTGCTGAGCATGAGCAGGGGCAATGCCTTGACCCTGAGGCGCACTGGCGTCGCCCATCTCGGGCTCCAGGGGCTGACCCTGCTCCTGCTGCGGAGGCCCGTTCCGCGCGTTGCCGGTCTGCCCCTCTCCGGCTGCACACGCACATATAATTACACGACAGAAATCAAACTCGGGCGTCAGTG